CAGTAGCAGTAGCAGTAGCAGTAGCAGTAGCAGTAGTAGTAGTAGTAGTAGTAGTAGGTAGGTATAGGTAGTAGTAGTAGTAGTAGTAGTAGGAGGAGTAGGAGTAGTAGTAGTAGTAGTAGTCGCAGTAGTCGCAGTAGTCGTGCTAGTCGTACTAGTCGTAGTAGTCGTCGTCGTCGTCGTAGTAGTAGTAGTAGGCAGCAGCAGCAACACTGGCAGTTGCCGTCGTCTATCATAGTCGTCGTAGCCACAGTCGTTGCAGCACCTCCTCAGTCCAACCCGTCATCGATGTTGTCGTCGCTGCTGCTGCTGCCGCTGCAGTGATGGTGATGGTGATGGTGAAGGTGATGTTGACGGGGATGCGGATGGTGATGGCGACGGTGATGGTGACGGTGATGATGACGGTGATGATGACGGTGATGGTGAGGGTGAGGATGAGGATGATGATGATGATGCTGATGATGATGATGATGATGAGGGTGATGCTGATGCTGCTGATGATGATATGTATAATGGTCATGTTACGTGGTGGAGTGTCGCAGTTGTGGCTGTCGCTGCATCAGACAATGCTGTCTACTGCTTTTTTTACTGATGCTACTGTTGTCAGGTTTGTGATTGGGGTCATGACAGCCGACAGGGTTCGGCTACCCTGTACGTGATGTCGGGACTTTGCTTTTATCATCAACCCTCCCAAGAGCAGCAAAAAGAAATTGCGACGAAGGACTCATCACAACCCACAAGAAGAAAGGCCCTCCCCTTCGGGCTTGCGAAGCGAGCTGCTGGCCAGCTTCTGTGGCAGGGCCATGACAACACAAAGCAATGGCCTGAGCTCTAGGGGCCTTCATAATTAGAATAGGGTTTTGGGGTACCACACACTCTAACTATAATGAGACTTGTAAGTAACCCTGCGGAACAGTCTTCTTAATTATTCAGGCCTATTTCGATCAAAGGCTTTGAGGTCGACGGGGTATCTGGTTCAAGAACAACTCGCAACTCACATCCTGGAGGCGACAAAGGACCGTCACAGCCTACAAATCCCCAGTGTAAGCTACATGGTGGAAAAATCTCCAGTCGGATTCCAGACATCGTGCTGGCGATTCAGTTGCCGAGCAATGACCTGTAGAAGGGGTAGTTTTAAGTCATATGGGGTCCTTGATGATTAGAATACCGTTTTCGGGCATAGTATGCTGAAAAGGAATCCGAAGCCATTTACCCCGAACTCCAAACCCTACACTCCAAACCTCTCCTGAAAGGGTTGACACCCACATCCAGCATCGAAACTCTGAGGACGCCCACCCCGGCGAAAAAGAGACATACTACGCTTCAGGGCTTAGTGTTTAGGGTGCAGGAATGGGGTTCCTTTGTGGTTAAGGACTTGGGTGTAGGAGCTACTGCAGAAAAGAAGAGCTTCAAGAGATAAAACTGTCGGTCTCCAAGGAGCAGCGAGAGAACAAAGGCCACCAAGATTGGAAGCCTGTCGGGAAGCTACGCCAGGTAGTGGTATCAGGAGTCTTGCGAGTACCTCAACACCCATCTCAAGGGTTCCCGAAACCCTAAAAGTTGGCTGCTGGCACTCAATTCTCCGCGTTTTCCGTGCTTGAGTGGAGGCTCGCTCAAAGTCTGCCTCCAACCAACGAAATCAAGTTTGAGATGTTCTCTTCCGCGGGGAAGTTCTTGTCGGAAGCCACGGCATGAAACAACCTATCTGCAGTTACCAAGTGGTCCGAGTGAACAGCGCAAACGAAGGCCAACGCGGTGGGGCTCACGCTGCCAGCTAGGCCCGTGTTGCCCAGCGTCTGTAGCAGCAGACTCATGACTTCCATGTCGCCTGTGTGGGATGCGCTCGCCAGAATTGTCAAGCGTGCGTGGTCGGCGATACTGTCACTGGCCCCTGCGTCCACAAGCATTTGAACCATCCCGCGGTTGCCACGTCTGGCTGAGTTCATGAGAGATACTGCTGTCCCGTTGGCAAGCTGAGCCCACCTCCCAGTAGCTCGCTGAGCCTGCTGCAGCAGGCGTGCTATACGAATCTGGCCATTGTCGACCGCAAAAGTCAAGGCCAAGCCGCAATCGCACGCCCAGCCCCTGTCAGCCAGAAAATCTAACAACACCCGCACGGTCCTCCCATAACCCCAACATGTGGCACAGAAAAGGGCAGTGGGAACGAGCTTGCACAGCAGCTCCTCGTCAGCCTGGGCCTCCAATAAGAGGTGCACAGTCTGCACATGTCCCTGATTCGAAGCGGCTATGAGCGCGGTACCCAACTCTCCTACATTTCCAACGAAGTCACGGCCCGGATCCGCAGCCAGCAACAACCGGACAATTTCAACATGTCCACGGCACGAAGCGCAGACTAGAGCAGTGATGTCGATGGGGTTCGCCACATTCTTGTCGGCCCCAGACTCTATAAGTAAAGTAACTATCTCCAAATGCCCCTTGGAAGACGCCCACAGAAGTGAAGTCAGGCCACACTCGTCAGGCAAGTCTTGGAGAGCCCCGGAGTCCAGCAAGTAACGAACAGCCTGCAGGTGGCGAAATTCAGTGGCGATGCACAGGGGAGGGCCTCCGTTGTGAGGCAAGTTCTTGTCAGCCCCGGCATCCACCAGCGCACGAATGGATTCAAGATGCCCAACTTCACAAGCACAGCCTAGAGCTGTCTCCCCTGGGGTTCCAAACACTGTGCACAGGTGATCCGTGTCTGCCCCTGCTTCGAGCAGCAAGTGAATGACATCCGCGGACCGTCCACTGCAAGCAACGTTAAGAGATGGACCTCGCAATCCATCAACATCTTCGTAGAAGTTCGGATCAGCTTCGGCTTCCAACAATAGGGAGACCACCTCTCTGTGGCCTTCCAGTGTTGCCAAGACCAAAGGTGCTTCCAACTCTACGGCATCGATGACCCCAAGGCGATTCGGATCTTGCGGGCGCTGAAGCATCCTCTCGACGTCAGCCTGGTGGCCAGCGCGAGCTGCCTGAGCCAACTCATCCATCTGCGCTTGTGTGGACTCGGCAAAAGGCAGCAGGACAAGGTTGAAGTCCATCGGGTGGTCGATGACAAAACCATCAGGCAAGTCCGAGCCGGCATGCAGAAGTCGCTGCCTGAAGCGGCTCGTCCCACAGACCGGGCAAAGGCGCATCTTCAAGCTCTTCACATCAGATACCTCGTCCACGGGGAAAGTCAACTCGGCTCCAGAGGACAACCACACGTGCAGCATGGCTCTCACCTCAACTTGACCTCTATAAGACAACACAGCTGGCACCTGGGCTGCGGATAATAGCTTGGCTAATTATTCTGCGTGCATTCCTATTTGCATTAACCGTACTTCTGTTGCATTGGTGACGACATGAAACTGTCAGTAGTAGAATTGCTTCTGCCGTTCACGCTGATATTGCCGCTGCTGCTGCTGCTGCTGCTGCATTCACATATGCCTCTTGCATGTTGTGACACGTGGGTATCGCTCTATGTACCAACAGAGGTAGGAGTACATGTGAGTTCGGAGTACATTGTGTTCACAAGTGTCTTGCGCTTCTATGCTTATATATGTCTCTGTGTATGTATGTATGTATGTATGTATGTATGTAATTATGTATGTAATTATGTATGTAATTATGTATGTAATTATGTATGTATGTATGTATGTATGTATGTTTTTGTTCCGAAGCCTCCCACGGACGCGA